TATATCTAAATCACTGTTGACGGGCCCCTCGATCTTATACACTTTCCGAGGGAATATTGTCGTTTGCCGGAAAGCGACGAAAAACGCGACAACTATACATAGTTTCTCTCCTGAGTGTGTACTTGTCATAAGCACGTGCGAAATGAGTCCGACAAAACAGAATTCGCAAACGAATCTTGCACATTAAGTTTGATATTTAGTGTACGTCTGAAGGTACCGGTCGAATAAAAACGTGATGGATGATCGTGAAATGTTTATGATTACACGCGTAGAGAGAAGCGCACGGCATAAAGGTCAGGTACAGGCTTACAACTATTTGCGCTACGCTCATAAGTTCTGTCGTCGAGTATCGAGTAAACGTATAGCCGTATTACGAAATGTGAACGATAGAAATAAACATAAAAATAAATCATCATGAAATATAAATGTGCGGAAAAAAAAAACGCATTACAAGTACGCTAACAGATAAAGATCCAAGATAATAATGTAGCTTCGGGTACCAAGGATAGGTCAACTTTTTCGTTATTTAAAGACAAATGTCGCATTGTTTATGTTCGTTCGGCCGTGTACGTCAAGGCGTAATGATTTTAATTAGCTGACCCGTTCGTGACCCCGACGAACCGTATTTCACACAAGACCCTACGACCCGGTACCGTAGCATTGTTTGAAAAAACTCACGGATCCGACGTCCAAAGACCGCGCGCGCCGTGGTGCACCTTAAACAAATATCCAGGCTTTATTTTTTTGTACGAAACGCGTCCACTAAAATAACAGTACACGTTCAAAACGTGCTCATTAGCTCGATCCAATGGAAAATAATGTCTGTAGATGCGTGTATTTGTCTACGTTTAAACCGTCACATTTAGTTAACACGTCGATCTATGCGCATTTGAAATAAGAATATATGCGTGCGCGTATAAACTATCGCCGACCTCAAACGTTTATTATTTAATTGCGGTTTAAAGTATGAAAAATCAATACCGTTTAAATAGGTATGCGTTCGAACGTAATTAAAGGGTTCGCGTGTTTTTTTTTCCCCCGTATAATAATAGTTTTGCGATCGTATCGATTTCAAAATTCGTGGGAAAATAATTTTAATTGTAAGACCAGTTCAGGATTATTTTAAATCGGCTGCTGATTTTCTAAACGTATCGTGATAGTTACCGATGAGTATAGGGCGGAAAAATTCACATGTATAACATACGCATACATACGAGTATGTATATAAATATTGTGTAATTGATGGTTATTATAGTGTAATAGTTACAGCTGTACGTTGCCATAACAGTTGTAAATCATGAAATTATAAATAATTTCAAGTTAATTCGAAGCGATTAGATTATAAATATGATGTTTTAAAATATGTATATTTCTAAACTTATGTACTAGTGATTTTCAAATAAATTGTTCAAGCGCGAGAGAAACGACGTGTATAAATATTTTTCGTAAAAAGGAGTTTAAATGTAAAAAAAAAAAAAAAAGAGTTCGAAACCGAACTACTAAATACAGTGAACATAATATGTTTAACAATTATTATTATGCAATATACGTTCTTGGAACAATAACTATTGGCTTTAACGAATCCAAACGCCTGGAAAGGTTTACTTCATCCGCTCGGCTAACGCAAAGAAAAATAACAACGGTGTTATTTAACACTGACGCGTGTGTATAACTAAAACCAAATAAATGATTAACGAATTCCGCGCACAATTCGATCGTGATCTTAGAAACGGACACTTTCTATCATCGACTGCAGTTTGTGCTGAACACGGTAACAGAAAAAATTATCTGTTACACAAAAACAATCCACCCTCACTTTACGTCCGTTTGTCTAACGGTGCGATTTTTATTCCGCATTATTTTTCTTTTTTCCGAATTACGAGTGACAATTTTTTTTTTTTTTTTTAAATTTCAAGCGTCTACTATCGTCGTTACGTTTACACGTGCCGCGCCCGGTGTTGTTTTACGTCCTTTCCATTAAACCCCACCGACGGAACACGAACGCACACGTGCCCCGGTCGTCTCGTCATTATGATATAAATCGAGATTTATTCTTTTTCGATACGTTTCTACTCGTGCCGGGACGCGCGAATCGTACGGATAAACGTTTACGCGCGCGTTCACTCGCACGGCGGGCAGTCTCGCAGTCGTGGGAATGGAAAATAGAAAAAAAAATCACGTCGTCCCGAAAACGACGGATACGAATGTTTAACGAGGCGTCGGCGGAACACGACGGCGGCGAGGCATCGGCTGTTAATTCGATTGTTGTTTGGCGCGTTCCCCGTTCCATGGCTCGGGCGACGACGAAGACGACGGCCGCGGCCGGTCCCGTTCACGACCCGAGCACGCGATCCTTCTCGCGCGGTAGCTGCCGCGTTTTCGGACCCGATCACGACTGGGGCGCGTGTGGGCGCGTTCCGTACACACACACACACACACGTTATACATAATGGATATACCGTAAACGTAAACACGCGCGCGCGAGGTCATGAGAAAGTGTCCGGGCAACCGCGCGGTGTGTTTGTAGGACACGCACACCCACTACGAATATATGGACACGTAAGCGCGCGCGCGCGAGCCGTATAATACTTAACCGATTTACCGATATGTCACCTGACTGCATGCACAATCGCAAACTACCGGTGTTCACGGCGCGTACGACAGGGTGGTCCAACCCGCGGCCCTTGATGCCTTTTTTTTTTTTTTTACTCCTCCCCACGGTTAAACCGATTATTTGTTTTATTAAATAAAAATCAAAGTCACAGCGCAATATTTTAACGAAAACGCGTGATCGATATGATCGTCTTACGTTTTATATTTATAGTTTATGGCGTTTACGCTAGAAAACGTAGGAATGCGACGGGAGTTCCCGCGATGAGACGCCATGGACGGCGCGTGAATTCCGTTCACAGTCGCCAGCGTCAATAACGTATAATAATGTGCGCGTAATATAAAATCATAAGATGAAATATAAACAGACGAGATATGATTTTTTTCTTCTTCTTCCTGCGGCCCCCCGGTGCGTTTAAGAAAGTGTAAATCGGCTCGCGAACCACAAAATGTTGGACCACCCCGGCGTACGATGTATGCGTTCAACGGTGTCGAAAACCGTATCGCGATGCGGTTGCTCGCGTTTGCCCGCGTGCACCTATACCGCGCAAACCGCGCGGAATACGGACGCGCGAGCGATTTTTAACTCCGCCGGAGTATCGGTATGAATACGAAAAACTTATAAAAGGTCCTAACGTAAACCGCGCCAGTGTTTTTTTTCTTTGTATTTTCCCGTGAATCCTTTTGTAACGATTGTTACGTATAATTAATGTCTACTCATATAATATGGATATTGTTGATTAAACATTACGTGCCAACTATGGCATATATATAACAATTGTAAAACCAACGGCGATGCAAAATATGTAAGTCGCGGAAGTTCGGACGCCACGTCCATCAGCTGCACTCCGATACTCGTAAGTTGTTTCACGTATATGTATGTATTAAATCTCAATAATTATTTGAACCGATCTACGTTTATTCGCAACATTAAAATCCGTTTCTTTTATGCTCCCGAAATACGGTTAAATGTATTCCAAAGGACCGGAAAACTTTTCCTGAAAATCATATATTTAACTGGTCGTCCCCGGCCACGTTACACGTTCGTAGTCATCGCCGAGAAATTAATTTTATGAAATTCAACGGAATGTTCATATTATTAGTTAAGTTCTAATCGGATTTCAAACAAAGTTAAAAAATTCGATAAAAAAAAAAAAAGAAAAGCGTTACAGGACGCTACAAATAGGTACACCGATGGAGTGATATTTACGAATTGTATTCGGTTTACATACATGACATAATTACATATTTTCGGACCATTAAGTATAACGATTATTTATTATGATTTTTTTACTACAATTTAAACGATATTATATTATATTATAAATTTTTTTTTTTTAATAATGTATCATGTTTATAATACTACTTGATTTTCTTCGATGGCGGAGTGTGCACGAACTCAATTTTACCCGATTTTTTTCGGTGACGGTAAAAAAAGGTACTTGTGGCGGGGCTTACATGCGGCCCGAACACGCAAAGTATACGCGTGCACGCGTATTATTTTGTTTTCAACGTTACGTACATCGACTGTATACGTACACCGCACACGTATACTATGACCGTACGTCTGCAGGAATCTGGGGCGGACGGTACAAATATTCGAGGCGTAGACGTTTTTTCGGGTTAAGGAAACTTGCGCTTGGATCCGATTGAAAGTAGATAGGTTAGCGGTGCGTCGTACACACGAGCAATGAATAGTGTTCGTGCACGGGAAATCAAAAACTGTTGTACTCGTAATAAACGAGAACAATAATAAAACGATGATTTTATAATAATAACTCATGATAAAACGAGAAGCCTCCAATCGGTTCGAAAACGGTTGAATGATTTATTTTTTTTTGTCTGTTCGAAAAATGCTTTTGATAAATAAATTATGACGACCGAAAAAACGATTCCGAACGAAAGCCGGTGTACGAATGATATCTGCATGACATGTCTGCGGAGAGTTCGATCGAAAATTCGTTATTCCAAATCGCTACCTCAGTGTGAAACACTACCGTGAGATACTTCTAAATGCTTTTAGCGTAGGATTCCAATCAAATAATAGGATCAATGAAAATGAAATCATACGTCTACTTGAAAACTAAATCAAAATCTATCATCGTCTGGGAACGATCAGTTCTACATCTTCAATGTTAAACATTTTGAAGGAGTGAATGGTGATTTATTTATTTATATTCGGTTATCATTATTTTATTCGAACCCGTTTCGCGTTACAAGCAATGCATAACAATATCATTACGACACCGCAATAAGTTGATGGGACGTGTTTTTTTTCTTATGGAAATCATGTGGACTACAGAGTAACGAATAACTATTATAATATTTTAAAACTCTTATCGGCGGTAAAATAAAGATGCAATTTTTTAATTGTTGTGATTTGCTCTTACCTTTGAAAATCCGTAACTAGGCGTCGGTAGGCAATGGTGGTGCAGACACTCGTGTCGTTTGAACGCTGAAAAAAATAAAAAAAAAAGTCTAAGTCAATGCAAATAAATAAAAATAAATTATTTACGACAACGTCACACTTGTTTGTATACACGTGTGCAAGTGTGTATACACCATTCAACAGCGATATTATTTTCACATGATTTAAAATAATAAATTAATAATTTTTTTCCCGACAGATAGATACAAGGTTGGACTTTGCGTTGACGGCTGTAAAAAATATTAGCTTTTAAAACTGTGTTTTCTCTTCGGGGCCAAGCACATAACATCGCATACCCGTACCGCATGCGTTGGAACGTTTGTCACTTCGCATGTTGTTCTTGTGCGGTATTTATTACGACCGTTTTACAGCCAACGATTTTTTTTACCGCGTTTACAGCTTCATTATCAATACGATGTTTCCTGTACACGCGATCGTTCAATAACATATTATTTTACGCCAGTGATTATGATTATTATTGTGTCGCAATATTTTACGATCGAATTTATCGTTCCGAAACGTTACGAACGCAACGAGTAAATCTTGTTCTTCTGACAGTAAGCGTACGAAGTTCATGATTTTTTATCGAATTCGTTTCGATTGACCGCACGATAATATGTATAATATGTACACGGGAAAACGGAAACGTGTCAACAATGGGGTTGTTGGGATTATTAATGTTTTCGAATGATGGCGCGCGCGCAGCAACATAACCTAGCTGCAAAACGAAACGCGGCAATTCTTATTATTCGTCGGGAACGTTTCGACGAAAACTATAATGCGTGTATATAAAACGTTCGATGTGACAATATAAATGGTTTGTAATTATGATTCAGCAATAAGTTTGAATGAATAATGAACTGTTATAAATTGCACCAAAACGTTTAGTAATTATATATATATATATATACGCACATACGGATAATACATTATGTATTCTTTGTACTCGCCGTACGCGTCGCATTCGGTATTTCTCGTACACCGTTTTAATATCGAAGGTGTATTTCTTGTGTGTACAAATACACGGTATTTTAATTTTTAGCTTACGTAACGATTCGAATCTTCAGAAACATAGAGGTCAAGTGTGGAAAATTCCGTCGATGATTAGAACGTTTGACGTTTGAGTACACTTGAAACGTACAAGTATTATTTGTTGCATCATGATGGTGTAGAGCAATGAAAAAAAACTTCGAAGAGGATTTGCTCTTTGGAATACGCGCGCGCATACCGATTCGAAAACGAAACGTTATGTACACAATTTAAACGGTGACGTTTTACGAGTCTTATTTTTGGGCGCCTGGAGACGAATTCTAGTCGGAACTTAAGAATTGGTTTTTTTTTTTTTTTTTTTTTTTTAATTTTTCCTTCTTATTATTTTCCGTACGGGCAGCGGTGTCGAACTTTTTTTATATCACTGGGGTAAACCCTACTCATGGGTACCCATCTACTCATCGAAAAATCATAAATAGCAAGTATTGTATACCTGTGAGCTACGAGTACTTTCTACACATCTAGTCATTACATAATAATACTATGGGATATTTTACCGTACAATAATACATCTAACACTCATTACGTCTAACCACTCACCCACCACCTAAACAAGTTCTGAGGTATTTACCCCGCTCGCCATACGTTTTCGGCGCCACTGCGTACAGATATACCGCCTACGCGACGGATAATTTACACCGACGTGAAAATCAATTACCGTAGCGCGACAAAGAACACGCACGCGTCGCATTTCGCAAACGACTATTTTAACTATTGTCTTTCCGCGCGTAAGAAATGTCGATTGATTCCAGATGTTCTCGGTCCACGACGAACATTGTACATCGTAACTCGACTCACGGGACGACGAAAGTGTTTTTTTCTTTCTTTTTTCCAGACAAAACGCTGCAGGTCGACTCGGTTCAAAGCGGTATAATGTCGCGTTGTTATTTAACGGTCGCGCGAAGAAAGAAAGTTCTTTTGTATGAAATCGCGTCGTATACAATACGCGTAAATGCTTTTACAATGTTTCCGCAGTCGATCACACACACACCATTACGCGTTAATTAGTTAAGGCGAGACGAGACGACATACCGAACCGTTTATCCTTATAGGTACTCGCAGCAACGACGCGAGCAATTTTAATTCCATCCGATACCGAAGAACTGCAGGCCTGAAGAAATTCAAAAATAAATGCACGCACGTGCGCATGCGTACGACGTTTCATAAACAGTAAATCGGTCACTAAACACGGACTATTAGGCTAAATGCGTATCTCAACTGTGATTAGACCCGACGAGAATTTTCGTCGACTCGTCCGCAGAAGAACCGATCGTAGGGATCGTAATATTAATGTTGTCAGTGGCGGATACAAGATTTTCTTTTGGAGGGGGGGGGGGGTTCAAAAATGTTTTCCCTTGTGATATTTTTTATAACATTGCTGTTTGTGATTGATAATGAATTAAGATAATAGTGAATAATATAATACATTAGTCGTTAAATCTAAGACTACTATTTTTATGTATGAATAAAAATACGAATTATATACTTTCCCTCATACTTTGAAAAAAAAAAAAAAATCTTTTTCTTAATTCATAAAATTATTTGATTTTCAGTGTATATTTTTCTTGATTTTGGGGGGGATCCCCTTGGATCCGCCACTGAATGTTGAATACGTGTTTTATAGTTATTGACCTTTTTTCATATATCACCCGATAAGCACGCCGTATACGTTACTCGTGTGTTACGCAATACGCCGCCGCCGCGTGCGCCTATTATAAAATACGTACGCTGTTCGTGCACGTATTTCCACAGTAATTCATCTGCGTTTAACTTTTCAGAACCGCTCACGTACGAATAATGATACGCTTCGAGTACACATAGGTATATTGTACTTAAACAAAGATCTGGAAAGCTTGGGAACGACAACAACTGAGGATACGGATGATCGGAAGCTGTCAGAGGACGTGGTAAAAGCGGCGAAAGGCCTTGTAAACCAGAAAAAAAAAAAAATATTTTACCTAGAAGGATGTACATGCGTGCGTGTATACTCGCGTAATAACTCCCTCGGGAGGGCGAGTTCTAATTTCCCCCGCTCGCCAACACCACGAGCGACCATCATTCGAACCCCTTTGCCTTACGGGGATTTGCCGTTCACTCTTTATTATTACTATTCAGTGTTGACTATTTCGTACAAACATGATACACACACATACACGCATACGCATATGTATACTCTTCCTGTTCGAATCGTTCACCCTCTGTCGACTTCGGCACGTTCCCAATCGGTCGAAACGGTATTGATATACATCGCACGTCATCGTCGTCGACGATAATCGTCGAGATCCGATCGCGGCACGACCCCCCGTCGTAATCGGCCGAGTGCGTGTGCCGCGTGCGACATTTGTCAGGTTTCTCGTTAGTAACAAGACATCCACACGACGACTGTACTACGGACTCGGTCCATCTTGTTTCCCTCACCGTCACCTGGTATACCGCAGCAAAGATCGCACGCATCGGATATTATTTCGTATGCCGAAAGCGTAAAACACTTGCGAAAACAACACCAAAAAAAAAAAAAAAAAAAAAAATAATCGATTCGAACGACAATGGATGACAACTGTTTTCCATCAAAGCGATCATATATACTAGCGCATAATGCGCATGCACAATTCGATGCACCGGTCACGATGATGCGACACGCGTGAAAAGTACAAATTGTTTATAAAATTAAAACGTGTGGCTATACAGTTGTTTTTATCTATTGTTATCGTCATTGCCGGATACACCTTACCAAAAAAAAAAAAAGACGTAAATTAAGCAGTTATCGGCAAAACTGTTTTACAACTATTTTATTTTATTTTTCATAACTAATCAAACCGATGAATAATATGGCATATAAAATGATCGTACCGTGAAATGCGAGATATTACCGTACGCATACGTAATACTATAAGTGGTCGTAACGTTTCTTAAATAAGATTAATAAAAACTTCGTGAAAATTGAATCTCAGTAGATTGACCTGTCAACACGAATCGCTGTGGTCGCACAATCTCAATGCACTACATTATACGGTCAGCCGAGCGTTCGAATCGAATGGACAGACTCATTCCACAGTCATTGACTGTATAAATACTCGTCTCGTATCAGGTAATAATATTTGGTTTCTTAACTCGGATCAATTATGAACGTTCTTAATTTCGACGATCGTACGACCGAACGACTATTGAATTTAATTGATAATTTATTCTATCTGATACGAATGACTAAACGTTTTTAAATAACGTTTAGCGAGATCAAAATATCGAATGTGTTAACATCACGCCACGCGTGTACATATAATCTTTTAATATATTCAAATGTCAATACATCGGAACTGACGTTTAAATATATTTTTTGATTTTTGAATTAAAACAGTAGATATTTCAACGAGTATTTTCCGAGTTTAATCGAAATATCACATACGTATAGTTATTTTATATATGTTTATTTATTTATTTTTTTTTTTTTTTACGTATAAAGTGGTTTCATCTATAATAACATTTATTGGATTGATAGTTTTATAAATTTTACGTGTAATTTATCTAATCCCGAATATTTTTATTTTTTTACTGCAATTAAGTACTTCCTGATTGTACAAATAGACCACACGCTCAATTGGCCGAGTCGAATATCGATTTGAAGCTAATAGTATAATATAATAGACGATTAATATACGCACCTTTGGCTATTCCACCTACGCGAATTCAATAATAATTCGATCACGACTCGTAGAACAATGAATGTAAATTGATACACCAATTTGATGTTAATTTTACTATACTTTTCATTCGAGCACTCGTAAATTTTACAACCCACATGAACAATTTCGCTGCGCAAAGCGACGGATACTCTTCCGTACGTAAAGCCAAAGTTCACATTTTTAATGATATACTTAGAGATGTAGCATTGAAATCATCGCACGATACATTCGGTAACGGGTCGGACAAAGGTACGCAAAGTATTATTATTATAAATTACATTTCGATATAGATACATA